CCGGCGGTTAAACAATCAGTTGAGTTCCAGACCGGCCGTCTCATTGCGATCGCCCGCCAACCGGTCGCAGAGCGCGCGGGTGCTAGCCGCCGCAGGCATAAAACGCGGCGTGAAAATTGCTTTATTTTTTACATACGTATTCTCAGACTATGTATCGAACCCAATTCTAAATTCAAAAGTCCATTATCACATTTCGTTCTGTCCACAAATGAAACCTCTTTCTAAAATATAGGCCAAGGTACACTAAAATCCTCAAAATATTAAGCCTGATTAGATAAACGGCCGAGAATTAAATTCCTCTATGCAAATCCGAGTACAGGTGTCTCGCGTCGCGTCTTCTAATTAAAACTTTTTATGTCAGAGACTTTTGCTCTTTAACTTTCATTCGTAATGTAAGAGATTTGCATTTTAAGATACCGGCTTTGGCCGCGCTTCGAATTAAACGGGGCACGTTCAGATTTTTGTTGGGAATTTTATGTTGTTTTTTTTATAGAACTTTAGATTTTGGGTGTAGATTTTCTTCTATTGTTGGTATGGATTAAATGATTGAATTGATTTAAATTAGACTATTCGTTTACAAGCAATGAAACCGAAACCGCAAGTGCAAATAACTTAAAATATAAGACAAAATAGTTCATTAAGTTTTCATAAAAAAGAGAAAAGTTTTCGATTCAAATAAATCAAATACAAATTTGGTCACACAAACATATGTACCATGTCCAAATTACAACACTTCTCTTTTTTGACGGGAATTTCAAATAGCAAAAAATTAAATACCAACCCATCATTTCCTAACCTATAGCCTAATCTACATATATATAAAAATGAAACCCGTTTCCCGTTGTCACGCCATAACTTGAGAACGGCTAGGCCGATTTGGCTGATTTTTTTTGTTCTGTTTGTTATTGTCAGGAAAAGGTTCTTATGAAAGAAAAAAATCATGAAAAACCTACATAAAACGGGATTGCGCGTACGAAGTCGCGGGCAGAAGCTAGTAAACAATAAAATATAACCGAGCAAATCGAAGCAAAGAGATCGTGTATCAACCAAGTGAAAAGTTACCCAGTTTGAAAGCGCTCTAACAAATTGTACGAATGCATTGCTTAGTTTACAAATGTACGGAGTTTTTAACGCAAACCATGCTTGCTCGCCATCGGGATAGTTTTAATTTTAGAAATTGTAGCTTGTTTTATACTAAAAGGCTTGTATTTGAACGTTAGTGTTAAACCTAATGGGTAACCGGGGTTCCGGCTCGATGTGCAGGAGAAGGAACAGGGTGGTTTTTAGTCAGTAAGAGTCTGACACTCCGTCCCGCCTCACCCAGGCGGTAGCAGTCATTCGATGATTTTCCCCCCTTAAAAAAAGTGTACCTATACCTATGTATTTTTTCGGAGTCGCGGAGAACCTAACGGGTAACCGGGGCTCCGGCTCGACGTGCAGAAGAAGGAACGGGGTGGTTTTTAGTCAGTAAGAGTCTGACACTCCCTCCCGCCTAATATTCAGATTTCTAACTTTGTACCGAATAGGTTACTGTATTATAAAATTTCAGGCTCAAGTGTATTTTAGCGCGATCGTTTTTAATAGTTCTTGTTTTAGTTTAGTTAGGTCTGCCTCGTTTGCCGAGTAGTCGCCAATGCAACTGCTAGCCAAGGGGTTTCGGGTTCGATTTCCGGATCAGGCAAAGTACTACTTACTGGGTTTTTTTTTAATTCTCAGTAGTAGCACGGAGTCTCTCGCTCGCTCTATTACATGGGACTCATAACATAAATAGTGAAAAATGGATGTTACATTGTACAATGGCATTAAGTGCCGTAATATGCACGTCTGCCCAACCCATTGGATATAAATAGAGCGAGGTTATGATTATTTAAGCCAACAAAAGATTGCAGGCTATTGGTAAAAATCTGTTGTGCATCAAATGAGATTCAAAATTCGATGATATACATGAAATTTAAAAAAAAAAACAAATTTCACTAAGAACTAAACCAGTGGTTTCGTGTTTAGTAATCGTACTAATAAAAAAATCTTTATTCGATTTGGGCATTGTACTCCAGTTTGGCAAACTTGCAACCAATTAGCAGATGGAATCAGTGTATTTAGAGGTATAATTTGTAATTAATCATTATGTTCTAGAGAGAAGTAATTATAATTTATTAATAGTAGCTAGTAGTAAGATAGCGTCTTATCTCAAATTAGTCCGTTGTATAACTGAGTGGCACTTTATATCAATCAAATTGTTTGACGTCAATCACACTATATCTTTAATTATATACTATAATTCTTCCGTGAGTGTGTATGTCACTGAACTTCTCACAAACAACTGGACCGATTTTGATTGATGACATTTTTTGTGTGTGTTCAAGGGGATCTGGGAATGGTTTAGATTCACAAATCAGCCCGGCAGATGGCGCTGCAGCCGATGTTTAGATTTTTTATCCTAAATAGCTGAACTAATTTGAATTAATTTTTGTTTATACATTCAAGTGGATATGCAGGACAACGTCTGTTGGGCCCGCTAGTGTATATATAAAAATGGATTTCTGTTCGTCAGTATCGCTTAAATTCGAGAACGGCTGAACCCATTTGGCTTATTTTGGTTTTGAAATATTTGTGATAGTCTGGTAAAGGTTTAAAAGGTGAAAAAAAATATTTAGGCGGTATCAAGTTCACCATGTCAGCTAGTAATATTATAAATGAAAGTTTCTTTATTTGGCTGTTTGTCACATTAACAAAATCGGGAATTATTTGAGAGAAATGCCCTAAGTTCTACACAGAAGCAAAAATAGTCTCTATTCGTATGTATTTAGAAATCTTATCTTTTGTTTTGTTAACCTGCCACTTATTATTGCCAACATAAATTATCAAAACAAAATGATAAGGAGATATTATACGATAACCTGAGTGAATCATCATGTACTCGTTTTTCACCATCTTAACCAACACTTGATCAATACTTGATGTGACGTCATAACTGTTATCTCAAAGCATAAAGGTACTGCTACACGTTCGCCAAAATAGCATGCTAAAATGCGTCTTATTAAGCATACTCGAAAACGTAAAAAATAAGAGCTTGTTAAAGAAAGACATAACATACATAACATCACGCCTTTTATCCCCGAAGGGATAGGCAGAGGTGCACATTACGGCACGTACAATGTAACACTCACTTTTCACTATTTAAGTTATGATTCCCAATGTAATAGGGGGTGAGCCTATTGCCATATACCGGGCACAATTCCAGACTCAGTGCTACTACTGAGTTTTCTTAAAAACCAGTAATTCATTGCCCAACCCGGGAATAGAACCCGAGACCTCTTGCCCGGCAGTCGTATTTGTGACCACTCGGCCAACGAGGCAGTTACAGAAAGAAAAATCATTTATTCAGCACCAGGCACGGTGCAGCATAAATAAATAAAATAAAAAAAGACAATAAAGGTGTGACACTGACAGTGGAAGTAATGAAAACATTGAGTTATTGTTAATCCTACTAATATTATAAATGCGAAAGTTTGTGTGTGTATGAGTTTGTTGATTCACGCAATTAGCAAATATGCCTGAAATGAGTATGCTAGTTTTGAGCAAAATTTCGACACACAAACTACTAACTGACAAGTGTTTAATAAGCATGCTTTCGTGATTGAAATTAGCATGTGTAACAGTACCTTTTTGATGTAACACTTTTTGGATGCAAATGGATTATCGTTTGTTATAATTAAGTGTGGGAGAACCATGCTTCGGCACGAATGGGCCGGCTCGACCGGAGTGATACCACGGCCTCACAGAAAATCGACGTGAAACAACGCTTGCGTTGTGTTTCGTAGTGAGAGTCCTAGTCCCCGTCCCTAGTCCCCGTCTTCCGAATCCCCGAATCCTCCACAATCCTCAAATTCCCAATTGCCAAAAGGCCGGTAACGCACTTGTAACGCCTTGGTGCTTCGAGTGTCCATGAGCGGCGCCGATTGCTTATCATCAGGTGATCCATCTGATCGTTTACCGGCTTATGCTATAAAAAAACTAACATCTTCATAGTGATGATTATGTATCGACATTCGATCAATCGACATTGTAAGGGACTATAATAATAATAATAGTACCGGGTAAAACGATGTGAAATGAGGCAGAATAGGAATGAATAGGCATTGGAAAATTCTTTAAACTATCAATTTATTTACCCTGTTTTACGGTAATAGTAAGTATTTATTCATAAAAATAGTGATAAAAAATCTGTGTTTTTCTAAACAGTATGATATGGAAGATACGAAAATGAGATCGCAAATTATATTTTTTGAATAGGATGACAGTATAATATTACATTTTTTTTATATATCTTGAAACTATAAGCAAAGGTTAAGCATTGCCATTCAACATGGCAATGCTGCCAGTCTTTTGGGCACCCTACCTCACGGTAGCGACGAGGAAAATGTTTTCTTTGATACGTTATGATTTATTTTTATTTTTATTTTTTGAGGTGTAAATATTTTAGTTTAAAATATATTTTTTTTATATTTTAAGTTGTATAAATTATTTCTGTATTACTTAAAATCTAAATAACGTTTTTAATATTATTTCTAACTTTCGTGTTTTAATATAACCAGAGGTACAGTGAGTTTACTCGTAGTTATTACTTGCTTATATCAATCACCAAATAAAATAGGACCCAAACACGCAATGGTTTGCAATACAAGACGTAAACTGGATTGCTATACCTCTCTGATAACACGATTACTTGAAGATAGGGAATCTATCATCTCACTCATTTAACCAATAACAAAAAGAGATAAAAAGTTACAGGCACTTGAGATTGTGTATATTTATTATTGACAAACGAATTAAAGTAGTAATATAAACTACAATACTGATATCGTTTAATTCATTACTAAACATTATTTCAATTCAAAATGGTGGACTAACAAACTTTGAAAATAGAACGTTTAATATCTTTGTTGTTTGACATCTGTCAGTCAACTTTTTTTATTATTTATATTTCGAATACCGTTACAATGAGGTTTGCATTTTTATTTTTAGTTGCAACCTCTTTGGTTTTGAGTGATTATTGTGAATGTAAACAGTTTACAAGATGTGGACTAGCTAAAACTTTGCTGCAAATAAAAGGCATTAAAAAAAGCTTTTTGGGGACTTGTAAGTATATATTTTCGGTTTATTTACTCCAAATTATTTATGAAGTAGTAGCAGTACTACAATGTCGCGGTTGCCCAGAATTAAGACGCCTGCTTTTCATGCATAAGATTGCGGATTCGAAACCATCCAACGGCAAGTACCGATGTGACTTTTTCACGGTTACATGAACTTTCTAATATTATCTAGACTCCACTGACAAAAATCTGAAAAACATCGTGAGGAAACCTAGGCTTATATTATAAGTTTAAAATCCCCAACCCGCATTGAGCAAGCATGGTGGCTAATACTCAAACCTTCTCCGTATGAGAAGAGGCTTTCGGCCAGCAGTGGTCACTTATAGGCTGTTGATATGTATGAGTAATTATTATTTTTAACAAATGTTATATATTATAATATAATAGGGTAGATGCCTAATTTTTAAATTAATGTCCGTCTGGTATATTATTTTAAATCATTAGGCACGTATTTTTTATTTTCTTACAAAAATGAATACTTTCGACGATATATTGATTTAAAATGTTGCGTGACGTCACTTTTATGCACATTTTATACATAGAAATGACGTTTTATCCCCCACTCCTAAACTTTGATTCGTTTTATCTACGTATTGTTTTATTATACGATACAATAAAAAAATAGGTATCTAATTTTTGTCATTACCTAACTTACGGACTAAGTAATTCGATTTTTAATTTTCATACTCTGTCATCATCCCAATTCACTAGAACAAAAATTATCATCATTTGTTACAAACAAATTGGGCATATATTTTTAACCTTATTCATATTGTACGTGAGCCGAATCAAATACCTACAATACATACTAACAACTCGTTAATAGATCAAACAAGTTTACAACTAGACTAATTATGCAAAAAATACGCCGCGGAAAATACTCCACATCTAAACAACGACATCTGACATCTGACATTGAAATCCATTCAATGCAAAATATTCTTTAAGATGAAGCAGTTAAGAGTTATAATGAGTATAAAAAGATAATTGAAGGATACATTTATGTTCATAAACAAGAGTAGAGTCATGTGGAGTGCACGTGTGTTTGTGTTTTTTTGTTTCGTTTTGTATGTGGCCAGTGGTAAAAGATTTGAGACAAGATGCAAGTTAGTGAGAGAATTGATGAAAATTGGAGTGCCTAATGATATGTTTTTGGGGCAATGTAAGTTACCGTAAATACCTACTACAATTATTTTAATTTAAAAAAATAATTTATTTGTTATACTGCCTCGTTGGCCGAGTGGTCGCAAGTGCGAGCCGGGCAAGGGGTCTCGGGTTCGATTCCCGGGTCGGGCAAAGTATTACTGGGCATTTTAAATATTCTCAGTAGTAGCACGTAGTCTGGAGTTGTGCCCGGTATATGGCAATAGGCTCACCCCCTATTACATGGGACTTATAACATAAGTAGTGAAAAGTGGGTGTTGCATTGTACCGTGGTATTAAGTGTAATAATAAAAAACAATAGTAAAAATAAAATAAGAATCATTTATTTCAGACCACAAAGGCCATAGGAACGGCAATTTTGTTAATACATCAAACCAACTTATAACTAAATTTAGTCAAAAAATTAAATTCAATTAAATAATTAAACTTAAGCTTAACACTAAATATGGGTGGGGGAGTGTCTACTCAATAGGCTCACCGGTCCCGACCGTACCCCTACCTAATGCCTACCCCTTCGGGGATAAAAGGCGTAGTGTTATGTTATGTTATGTTATCCAGAAATATTGCAATCATAACTCACCTACCTACTAGATGTAACGCTACGTTTTTCCTCAATATCTAAAAGAACTGTTATTACGTTACTCATTCTAAACTATAATGATCACACTAAGGGAAGAATGATATCATGACTTTGTAAGTTGTTAACTACTAAAATATGAGTAATACACAGCAAAATGAGTGTCTTTGAGTATTTCTTGAAACATTAGGCGGATATTTGTTTGATTGCACTGTAGACTCTACAAGAAAAGAAACGGGATGTATCTTTTTTGATACACTGATAATAATAATATGTTCTATATAAATAAAAATGAATTTCCGATCGTTAGTCTGGTTAAAACTCATAACATAACACACATAACATAACATCACGCCTTTTATCTCCGAAGTCGTAGGCAAAGGTGTACATTATGCCACTGTTCGGTTCTTTATAATCGGTTAAAAATAAAACAGAAAAATGCCGCGGAATTAAAAAAAAACAAAAGTTTTCTTAATAAAAAAATTCAATATGGAGTTTAACTTGAAAAACTTAATTAATAGTCTAAAGTTTTACATAGAAGTGCGATTATGCGGTAAGTGCAATACTTATGTCACGTAGCGACCTCTATAAATGTGTTTAGCATACATTATAACATTATAATGTTTAGACACGAACCTTTCAATATTTTTGTTTTAAATACACACACAATAATATAACATCAAAGTCAAAGTCAAAGTCAAAGTCAAAGCATTTATTTCAATTAAACCATACTTTGGTACTTTTGAAACGTCAATAAATACAAAATAAATAATAGTCTGTCAGTCAGTCTGTCAGTGAAACTAGGTGAAGCTAGGTCATCACTTCTTTTATCCTCGAAGGGGTAGGCAGAGGTGCACATTATGTCACTGTAAATGTAACACCCACTTTTCACTATTTATGTTATGAGTCCCATGTAATAGAGGGTGAGCCTATTGTCATATACCGGGCACAATTCCAGACTCCATGCTACTACTGAGAATTTTTAAAAACACACAATTTTATATGAAATATAATTATTAAGTTTACGATCTCTCCTAAGCGACAAAGGTATATAAGAATCGTAGCAATTGTCGTTCTATAGTCATGGAGGTATGTATTTAGAGACCTACCCCCATGGGAGACAGGCGTGAGGTTATATCGATGTATGTACCACATTTCCTTCCAAAGTTTCATCAAAAAAGTTTATCTCATGTCAATTTCCAGTGCTTATGATTTTTTGAGAGCGAAAATCACTGAATGTCTCCTCCCCATTCAGGTTTTAGGTAGTTACAATTAATTTGAATATAATTTCTTTCAACACTTTTATTATAACAACTAAACTTGTAACGCCTATGGTGCTTCGAGTGTCCATGGGCGACGCTGATTGCTTACCATCAGGTGATCCGTCCGTAAAAAATCACGCCCTCTAGTATCTTACTACAAAAATTATACAATAAATAAAAAACCGAAATAAAATCAATTGGTTGCAAATTGATTATAAAAGTAGGTGGAGGCGCAAGAACTTAGTTTCGACCCTTAAGACAATTATTGAGATTGTCGGAGTAGAAAATGATAAAACAAAACAAAATTATACTCGAAGCATGCTCGCATATAATAACATGAGTTTTGATAAATCCAATATGTATTTATGTACAGGATTCTTAAAAAAAAATCTTTGTAGATCCAAACCAGTACTAAAATATAATATAAGATAGACACCAAACTTGAAAACAAATATACACAAGTCAATTACAATTAAATCCTGAATAAACCGCAAGTTAAGGAAGTTTTGGTTAAAGTTAATTTGAACTTTGGTCTTCTGGTGTATATTTTGAGTATCACTGACCAGTAACCGCACTCAAAGGTAATTTAAAATGAATACTCTGCTTGAATTAAGTAACACAATTCTACTAGCCCTTCAGAGTAACGACGGAGTTTCTTGCTCGTTCTTCTCCATTCTAAACTATACTTAGGAAGGAGCTACACTGACAGACGGACGGACGGTGAATTAAAATTTTGACGTTTCAAAAGTGTGGATTAAAATTGAAATAAATGCTTTGACTTTGACTTTACTGCGCCTGTATATTGGTCTCCTATAAAAAGAGAGTTTGACATAATCTTTACGCTAGACGCAGGTGGATCAAGTTCAGAAAGTGCTGCCGGATGATTTGATGAATTAGTTAAGGCCTTTGACTGCTGACAGAAAAATACATACTTACCATCACACTGTTTATCCCCGAACGGAAAGGCAGAGGTTCACATTACGGCACTTATGCCGCTGTACAATGTAACACCCACTTTTAACTATTTGTATTATGAGTCCCGTGTCATAGGGGGTCAACCTATTGCCATTTACCGGGCACAATTTCAGGCTTCGTGCTGATACTGAAAAAGTTTTAAAAAACCCCCTGCAATAAATGCCTGACCTGGGAATCGAATCTGAGACCCCTTGCTCGACAGTCGCACTTGCGACCACTCGGCCAACGAAGTCACCAGTAACCGATGTGGCGAATAACTGGTTAGCAAGTCCAGAGCATGCCTTCGGGAAGAGGAAAATATATTTATCTGCCTTGCTATGCAGCATAAACATATAAATATTAGAACCTAATGACTTAAGGTATAATATAAATAACCGATTTAGTCATACAAGAGATGCTAGCTGAGGAGGCGACGGGGCGCTTGAGGCAGCGAAGCGCTGCCTTCTCACAACCCTGCTGTCGCGAAGGACACTCCAGGCGTCGGGGATCGCGGGACAATCTCCGGCCACCGTAAGCGCGGTTCTATAGTATGGGTGGCATCGCGTTCCGCGCGCGCCTCAAAGAGCCATCAGACCACCACGGATGGGTCCCAATAGGGCTGATGCCGCATACCGATACGAAGTCGCGGAGGACTTAACGGGTTGTCGAGGCTCTGGCTCAAAGGGCAGGAGTAGGAATGGGGCGATTTTTAGTCAGTAAGAGTTTGACAATACCTCCCGCCTCACCCGGGCAGGAGAAGTCATTCAATCATTTTCCCCATTAAAAAAAGGTCATACAAGAAACTCCAAAGCGCCTTACCTCATGTTACTATAAAACATTTTCATCGTTTGTAAGTAAATGCGCGCTCTTTGTAAACGTAGTATTATATAATAGCTGCAATGGATCAGTTCCTAGAAATATGCACCTTCTCAACTATTTATATAAAGGAAGCCCTATGAAATTGCATAACACATCATTATTATAGAGATTTTCCTACTAGAAATTGCTGCATAAAGGCTTAAAATTAGTTTTTGCGTATGCATCTACTACTTAATGTAGTTTATAAAATAAAATAAAATGCATTCATGCGGTGTGACACTGTTTGTATATGATGTATATACATTTTATAGATTGACCAAACTAACAATTAGATGCGGTTTGACGAGGAACTCGCTATGCTTTTTTTAAGGGGGGAAAATCATCGAATGACTTCTTCCACCTGGGTGAGGCGGGAGGGAGTGTCAGACTCTTACTGACTAAAACCCACCCCGTTCCTACTCCTGCACTATGCTTAGCTCTTATTCTATTCAAGCTATGCTTGAGGCTCATATTGACGTGTTCGCCGTCATCAACTGGGAACATGTGGCGATATTCGTGGGATACTTGAACATGGTGCACGGCAGCATTCCGTTCACTACTCAATTAGATATGGGTTTTCCAAGACTGAATAATGGCTAAGAGAATTACGAGTCAGTTGTCTTTTTATGAATGAATTAATATCCTTGATCAGTCTGCAGATTACAGATATAATTATACCTATAAATAGAAATAGACAAATGATTTCCCACAATTAATAAAAAAAAAAACGTATTTAACATCTGTTTTTAACAAATGATTCATGTCAAACATGAATCTATGTCTAGAATTAATAAATTATATGTGTATTAAAACAAATTAGGAGTAAGATAGATTTTATCTGTAGTTTTCCTTAACTCGTTATCAACACCTGAGTACAAGCAAGGACTTGGAACGTGGTGGTTTTGAGTCAGTAAGAATTTGACACTCCCTCTTACCTCCTCCAGTGCGCAAAAAGTCCGGGCCGGCAACGCACCTGTGACTCCTCTGGTGTTGCGGGTGTCCATGGGCAGCGCTGATCGCTTACCGTCAGGTGATCTGTCTGCTCGTTTGCCTCCTATTCCATAAAAAAAGTAATTTAATGACTTTCCTCCATCAATTCATAAAAAAAATCGTTGCAATTCCTAACAATATAACAAAGTAACTATAAATACTCTAAATGATACATCGAACACGATACCCACATACTAAAATACACAAGCCCACAGCCATTGAAAAACCACACAATAGATAACTCCGCAATGTACACAAGAATGACCTTGGGACGCTTTACAAAGGCGATGACCTTGAAACTTTAGTTTTAAATTTACCCCGAGGGCACAGACTGGCTTGTATTTATAAGTACTTTTGAAAGGGGTATTTTGTTAAAGAATGCCTTAAGATTATATAGAGCCCTTTTATCAAGCTATAAGTACATTGCCTATTGATCCCTCAATTGTCCTTTTGTAGTATTAACTTGAGTTAAAATAAACTTTCAGTACAATTCGTAGTTTTCGTTGCACCCTCGAGTGGAAATTAAAATGTTAAGTTCATTTTCGATTGTGTGTGTTTAGCTTAAGCCTTTGTATTTGCGCTTTGTATATTTAAGAAACATTTTTTTTTTTAATTTTTTTTTTTTGGTTTATTGTATTTTACAGTCACAATGACTTATAAGTGAATTTGATTTGAATCAGAAAACAATTCAAATGCGAAAGACAACTTAAATACTACCTCTACCTTTATTGGATAACTAACACACGTATTAAAGTCACAGACAACTTAATCTGATATTAGCGATGCTTAGAAGAGCAAAAAAATAAAAAATAACATTATAAAATTGACTACAATTCCAGAATTATTCAAGAAATTTCATTACCTCTCTAATAGCTTGCTTTTGACCTTGGGAATACCGTGATAATGACCTTTGACCTTTGACAGTTGTCTGCCACTTAATTGTTCGTATTAATAAATGGTTCCGTATTTAATGTGGACAATGGGTGGTGAACAGGGGGTAACCAGGGATCACTTCAAAGTTCAGATCCAAACTTTGTCTATTGAAACATTTGAGGGGTTTCGTTATACGGAAATGTTCGTAATAATGTCTATAGAGGTATCAATGTATTATTGCAGGTTTAGTTATTACCTATTTCACATTCAAAGAAGTTTTCCGGAATTTATGTATGTTGTAAAAATTATAGAATCGGTTTCAATGAAAAGATCATTCTTGTTTATTGAACATTGATCTGTGAAGTATTTAAAAATAATCATTACATGATGTACATTATGAACTAAAGATGTTGGGGCTGAGAAAATTCTCCTAAAGTATTTAGAGTTCCTACAATAATGCCCCACTTTATTTGTTACAGGGGTATGCTTGATAGAGAAAGTGAGTAAGAGAGAAACTACCGCTCTTACAGTGAAGTCAAATGGAAAGAAAGCCTATGGATTATATCAAGTAAGATTTCCAATACCGAAATTTTGATGCTGAAGAGAATTTGAGATCTCCTGTCCGGCAGGTTCATTTACACTAGCTCAATCAAATGGTATTTTTTTATATTTGACTGGCTGATGTTGGCCACTAACTCGCCTGGTGGTAAGCGATGATGTGGTCTTCAATGAAGCACGACACCCAGGTGCAAAATATACCCTTCAGGAAATTCAGACTGGCAAAAAATCCACTTCTTAGCGGTACCCACAAGGAAGCTTGATGCGAAACGCTTCGTGCGTGTGAGTATCTACCATGAATCGGTGATGAATGCAATTCCGAAAATTCAAAAATTCAAGAAAACCGATTGCCGATGACGCAATTTTGATGCTGAAGAGAATTTGAGAAGATTTCTTCATATTCGGAAGTTTCATTTACACTAGCTCAATCAAGGGGCATTTTCAGCGACTATTTCCATAAGAATTATTTTTTTTTAGATACCCAGCGAGTGGTGTAAAGAAGGCAAACGCGGTGGCCGCTGTAACATAAAATGTGAAGGTGAGTTAAAAATTAACATTCTAAACTCAATATTCAATCATAAAATAAATTACTCATATGAAAGGCATCACGAGGGGCGCCTATAGCATGAACTGCCTTTAGTCTGAATGCACCAGAATCCAGTTTGAATCCGAATACAACCGCAAATGGAAAGTTGGAATAAAAATGACAAATGAAAGTCTGTGAAGCTATAATATCTAACCGAACCTTATTAAACAGTATTGACACCAAATTAGTGGAAAACCATGTTACATCAGCAAATTCGTCTTAGAAAATTTATTGTTCTTCATTTTCTTTCTTTTTATAAAAAAAAAAACGTTGTCTCATACTATAATTTTTCCCTGTGTCGTGGGTGCCTTTAAAACATACAAGTTCACACACACATGATACCTAGACCCGAGCAACAATTTGTAGATCACACAATGAGTTGTCCCACTTTTTTTTATTTATGAAGGTTGAAATATTTGCAACAATAAATTTATATACAAAGTAAATAATCATGTAACTCTAGATTGCAGTGTAACAAATTGTCAACGATGTAGCAAACAATTCTAAGCTTCTACAATTTATAGAGCACGTTCCACATCAAAACTTTATGGACGTCGGTCAAAGCATTGTTTGTCGTTTTGGTTATGATCTCTTACATTTGTGAAGTACTACCATAATGATATTTCTAAACCGACGACTCGCACTTCTTATACAATCCAACTGCAAATAGCAGTCCGGATGCAGTTTGAATGCAGTTGAAACGACTACAATAGAACTGCAATCGGATTGCTCGTTTGGTTTGCAACCCTCTGGTCATGACTGCACTAGAACGGCAATCGGACTGCACGTTTAGTTTGCAGTTGGGTTGCAGTCGTGACACTGCGAACTGCAATTTACAGTTGGATTGCAAATGAAATACGGTTTATCTGTCTAGAGCCTAAGCCTACTTACTACGGGGATGACAGAGTAAAATAAGTTAGTCACTACCGCGATTTTTCTCGTGGTTATCGTAAGAGCTGATTAAGAGAATACAAATGTGACAGAGTCAGCGACTCTCGTGTTCTCCGATAAGCTTAAACCTGTAAATCTCTTATAAACCTGCCTGTAGATTTTGGCCAACCCTCATAGTTTTTTTAAGGAATAAACGTGGTGAACGACCATACGGATCACCTGATGGTAAGCAATTGGCGTCGCCCATGGACACCTAGAACACCACAGGCGTTACAATTGTGTTACCAGCCTTTTGGGATTAGGTATTTGAGGATTGTTGGGGATTCGGTGGCTGGAGAGATTGGGGAGGAGTAATTAAGCCTCCGGTAGCCTTATTCACACGACGATACATAACAACACAACGCAACCGTTGTTTCAAGTCAGTTTTCTGTGACGCCGTGTTATTCCACGTCACAGAAAACTGACTTGGAGTTATAACTCCGGTCGAGTCGGCCCATTTGTGCCGAAGCATGGCTCTCCCACACACATAGTGAAGAAGGCTCACTGTCTAGCAGTAGATTAATTGAAACAGGCTATTGTGATGAACATAGACAGACTAATGGCCAGTTACGAGCTATTGTAATTAACAAACAAATGGCTATTTTCACTTCTCCTAAATTTCAAGAAACCCTTAAGCTAAGATAGGTGATATTTGACATAATTTTGTCAGCTTATAAGTGATGCCTAAGTCACGTCATGCGTCACCACTTAGTTACGAAATGGTTTAGGGGTTTTAGGTGAAAACGGCCATGAGTTCCATTTCAAATTGTTTAATTCAAATTTACAGTAATTTCTAGCTTCAAAGACCAATCTTTTTTCTAATTTTTCTATTAGCAGAAAGGTCAAGAGAGCAAATAATTTAGTCTTCATCTTTATGAAATTCAAGTACACTTTAACGTTTTCATATTTCTGATTTCAAGAACTTGAATTTGTTGACCTACTTATGTTTAATAGGTATATTTTCTGCTTTCTAGTTTACTAATGTTAGGTACTTAATTTTTGAGGAGACATCTACATTTTACTAAATAATTGATTTATAATCTTATCGACATTACTTTACCACTAGCCAGTGCAATCTAATTGAAAAGTTAAGGAAAATATGAAATTAAACAAACACTGTGTAATTCCCGGACTTTAAAAAAGGAAGAAGAAAATTTATTGAGAAGATTATGAAGAAGGTTTTATACAAATATTAGTAGGTACCTAATTGATATAAAACCTTCATAATCCAGTTACTTATTTCTAAGATTAAATTCCATTTGAAGACATCCTTCAACCTTTCTTCTGTGTGTGTGGAATCTCTGCTTTTTATCTAAAAATACACGACAGATAAGTGTATTATCTGTCGTGTATACCTAACGCAATTTTTGAACTCTAGACAACAGCTCATATGTTATATTATTGTCTCCTCCTTTTAAAATAACACGGTAACGGAAATTTCCTTTGTTCTCATAAGAGGAGGACGGCAACAAAAGCTTAAGTACCTATTTGTATTATGTAGGTAATTTCAGCAACATAAAGACGAAACGGTCTTATTTTTTAGAGGTTGGCACTTCTTCAAAATACGGCCAAGGGATCTCGCTTATCGTGATGTTGTAAATCAAAGTGGTGTCGCAAAACAAACTCTGATACTCGAAAGTTTCGATTCATATCGAGTATGTGAGTGATATCGAAATCCTATGGTAGGTCCCCCGTTATCTTTGTACCACTCGAGTGGAAATATTAAAGTAGGAAAGTATAAATCAGGATTCTGTAGTGGCGGGAAGTTAAGCAACATTTTTACGAGCATTACTCTACTTTATTTGATTTCGTAAGCTTTCGGATTTCTATTATGAAGATTTTGTTACTAAATGTTTTTGTAACATTGTGGTTGAGTGTATGAATATCTTTGCGTAGAAATTGCGTGATTGAAAAATTCGAAAGACGTCAAATGTTGCTCGGTTTACTTTGAAGGTCAGGGTCAAGTAGATTTCGTATAACAATTTGGCTGTATGCAAATTTGTTATGCTAAGAAGGGCTATATATTTATTTTGGAAAGTTCTTGAATACATATTCATTTTACTATTATTTATTAGAGTACTGGTTTTTTTATCAGTTACCTCGCAGACAGTTATATATGACTTGTTTAAAACCTTACCTAAAGTGAAGCCAAATATTTGGTCCTGTTCCGTGAATAGTACTTTATAACCTCAAGTTAAGGGAAATATGAAATAATCAGCCCGCTTTCGTTTGAACGTATGCCCCTTCAATAGTACACCAATGAGTTCGGTATTCAGCTTTTTGCAATCAGTCACTGCCAATCTTTAAATATCTGTATAGTATGAATCATCAGGCTCAACATTCCATACTGACGTAGGTTTTTTTTATGGCATTAGCCGATAAATGAGCAGACGGATCAATCGGCGCCGCCCATGGACAACTGAAACACCAAGGCGTTACAAGTGCGCTACCGGCCTTTTGAGGATTGTGGGAGATTCAGGGATTGGGGAGACTGGGGAGAGGGGTAATTGGGCCTCCGGTCACCTCATTCACATGCCGAAACACAATGCAAGCGTTGTTTCTCGTCGATTTTCTGTGATGCCGTGGTATCACTCCGGTCGAGCCGCCATTCGTGCCGAAGCATGGTTCTCTCACCCTTAGGTACAGAAAAAAACATCACCTATTTACCTTTGTCAAAAAATCCGTATCACCCATTTAACAAAATCGGTCAAAACACTGATTATGATGAAATACGCGGTAATGGCACTCGGGCAATACATTATTTCAATTTATCTGTTTACGAAGTAAATTAATGAATCTCATTAGTTTATCTCGCGTTCCACACGCGCGTGTATAGATTGATAGATTTATCAAGTTTCCATTGTATATGTATTGGTAATGATAACTGAACGCGTTGCTATTTTAAGTAATAATTTCGTTGATAGTTTGCCGTATTTTCTGCTCAATAGTTTTGATTATGGTTTGGTTTTAGTTAGACAATAAGTTAAGTATTGCATATCATAGCTAGCTTGTATCAAACCAATTTGTATACCAATTAATCAGTATATTATGACTGCTTCGTTGGCCGAGTGGTCGCAAGTGCAACTGCTGGGCAAGGGGCCTCAGGTCGGGCAAAGTATTACTGGTATTTTTTTAATTCTCAGTAATGGCACGAAGTTTAAAATTGTGCCCGGTATATAGCAATAGGCTCACCCCCTATTACATGGGACTCATAACATAAATAGTGAAAAATGGGTGTTACATTGGGCAGTGGCATGAGTGCCGTAATGTGCCCCTCTGCCTACCCCTTCGCGGATAAAAGGCGTGATGTTATGGTAGTATATCATTAGTGCTAGCAGGACTGCCATGTAAGAGCAGCTTTCCTTGGTCTTCATATTTGGCAAGCGGGTTTAAGATCACACTTTAAAAGGTTCAAGTTTTTCAAAGAGTTTTGTTGCCTGGTCTCTTGATAAAAAGTCCCCAAAATTTTATAGTACAAAAGTAGTTAGTCTCTTAACATCGGCAATAACGTCTACAATGAGTTAGTAGCGTGTGGTCACCGGTGAGCGCTTGGGGTTTGAACAGTAAACTGTAGTCCACGAAACGTGGTGACAAAAATAGTTTAGTAATTAATTCAGTCTCTTTTGTTTTAAACACAGATCTGCTAAACGATGACATCCGTGATGACACAGCGTGTGCTCTGAAGATCATGGAGGAGCATGGTTTCCAGTACTGGTCGCTTTGGACTACGAGGTGCAAAAATGACAACTTCATCACTAATGAGATTTATAAGTAAGTATTCAAGTGTTTTCTGGTGGTTCATCATTGTGTTTTTTATGGTATTGGATGCAAAAACGCAGGCAGATCACTTTATGGTAAGCGATCAGCGCGACCCATGGACACCCGCAACACTAGAGGAGTCACAGGTGCGTTGCCAGCCTTTTAAAAAGGTATACGCTCTTTTCATGTGCATGTGCTGTCGTGAGGGTCGATGGCGAAAAGATGCGGCAGGTGTCAGGTCAAACAATTCCTTAGAGCAATCCCCGTAATACAAGCGATAGAAAATGCACAACGATTCTGTACGACGTTGCAATTGTTAGTTTTGGAGAACGTGAGCCCGTGACCCTACTTCATTTATCAAGATCCTGAGATATTAGTGTACCTATACATACTGGCTACTCTCTAAGTCGTGAAACATGATTTTTTTTCAGTTTAAGACGTTAACCGTAGGTCACCGGCGACCTCTGTTACCGTAACATTTGCCTTTATAAGTTTTCTGTCGGCAGTCTAAGACCTAAATTAATGAGTAAGAATATACGATTATCAGGTTTAATTCTGAAATATTTTTTTTTTATACCACGACGGTGGCAAAAAATCACACGGCCCACCTGATGGTAAGCGGTTATCGTGACCTATGTACGCCTGCAACACGTGGGGCATTACATGCGTCTTGCCGACCCTTAAGAAATGTATTCACTCCCCGCTTGAAGAACCTCATGTTGTAGCCCACTGTAACAAGTACGGTATACACAAGTAACTTACAAATAGAAACGCTTTATTTTAATTTCTAGTATTAAACCTATGTTTTCCGGTGCAGGTAAAACAATAAGTTTGCATGCAACACGTGCAACGGAACCGTATGTCTGTATTTTCCAAAATAGAACACACAGACATAAATCCCCACAATTTATGTTTACATCATCACTACCAAATCTTATTACATCACCTCATAACAGTCACTTAAGCTCCGGTGATAATATAAATAGTTCGTACAACATTATTTCTGTTTCTACCCGTAAGAGAGACCCTTCCTTGTTTGTTCAGGCCACGATTTAAAGGGCACTTTATTTCCATAAAAGGTTAAGCGTCCCTTTTTCTGAGCTTATGGAAATGTAATCTTAAAATCGGTTTCTAGCGATTTAGTTCCGATAAAATTATGGAAATCAACGTTTTGAAGTGTGGATTCGTCTTTTTGATGTAGTATTTAATTATCTATGTTTGGTTTCGTATTTATTTTGTTTTTTTTATGTAGTGCCGAGATGAAAATAGCAGACGATTATATAGGCATCTAATAATGGGTGATCTTTATTGTGCAAAAATATTAAGTACCTGCTTATATTATCTACTACCTATATAAAAATTAGTCGGGTTTTCCTTCCTGAGGCTATAACCCAAGAACACACGAACCGATTTCCACGGTAATCACCAAACGAAATGTTACTTAAAACGAAGCCATCTGGTGGCGAAACGGACTTCGCCGGGTTTGCTAGTATATGTATAGATTTTACGAAGCTAAAACCCGACTTCACGTCACTAGCCCACGACGTATTTGACTCTTTATTTACAATGGACTTTTTGTTGTTTAGCTACGTAATATATTCTTGACACCACCCAAAAAAATCACTGTGTCTACGAATATATGTGTGTGCACAAAATTATTTCACTAAGTCACTCATTATACTTCATTTACAGATGTCCAGACCTAAACCGTCTCAGTCCAGAACGCAGCCTATTTCTGAACCGAGGCTCAGCTCTAAGACGAAGACGTTCAATCAACAGGACTATCCGAAAATCCAGGTTCAGAAGATCTAGGCGTACAAATTAAATCAAATTAATTTGTTTGTTGATGTTTAAAATAAACTTGTTTCAAAGTCTGGCCCGTTGTTTACTTGGCACTTTACTGCGACTGACAGAATACTAAATACTATCAGGTAAGGGTGCCTGTGTGAGTTGATTGACAAAGTGACTGGAATTTCTTGCTCCTTTATTCTTTGTAGGCGCTTGTACTTGAGACGATGAATAGCTAAATTCTTATGAAACTGTAGAGTGGCGTTGTTACAGAATTTTGAATTAAAATATTTACAAAGAGGTATTTAGAAATAGGACACCAATTATGTAATAAGTATCTGATATACGCACATGCGATATAGGGAAAATCCTAGTGTGGGTGAAAATCCATTGCCCCACACTAAAAAAAACCTTTTTTTAAAGAAAAGAAATTCTTGACGGCAATGAACTATCAGTTATTTATATTGTAATATGATGATACATCATGATTATCAATTATCATACATATGTATATATTGTATTGTACTTGTATGTAAGTATATATTAAATTTATATTTATTTATGCGTATCTCTGATATATATAAATGTATCTTCCTTCTTTTTATTAAAATCATTACTTGCGCCTTGCACCGACTATTTAGTCTTATCTGCATCGTTGAAAGGTCAGACTGGGAGTAAATACCCACGACGTTAAGTCCACCTTTTGTACATTAGGTGCAGAAAGCATATTAAATAAATAAATAAATCATACAAAATACTTACTACGGAAATATTAATATGGAAAACGTAAGATTAACTAAATCCTTGAATTGACATTATCTCTATATACACCAACATTCTTACTAGCATGCATGAAAAGATTGATGACTGTTAATAAAGCGAAAGAGATATGTAAGAATCGTAGTAATTGGCGTTCCTTAGTCTCTGCCTACCCCCATGGGAGACAGGCCTGAAGTTATGTATGTATGTATGTATTCTTACTAGCCTACCAAAGAAAAAGCCTCCAAATTTGAACCAAACACTAAACACATTTCAATGGCAGTTCCCAAACAAACTTCTATTTATCAAGAGGCCTCCTTTACTCTGTAATACGAGTACTCACAACTTCAGACCCGTCTACAACAAAACCTAGGAGCCTGGGTTAACAGGTTTACTTTTTAAACTATTCGTTTTGTTTCGCTGAGAAAATGTCAAATAGTTTATTCACTTCAAGCCTGGTTTGTGTTTCCGACGTGTAAGTTTCACTGAAATCTCTGTGAAGAAAATATGCATTATCTACACTGATATTATAAAGAGGACAGATTTGTACCTATTTTTTTATGTTTATAATGAATAGGTTCAAAAAGTACAGGGCCGATTTAAAAAAAATCTTTCACCAATAGAATGCTACATTCTTCCAATTTGACATACGCAACATTTCATTTTGAAAAAAAAATAGGGATCCTTGGTAAAATTTTAACAATGTAACCGAAGGTGTAGAAAAATAAATAATTGTCTACCTCGTGCAAAGCCGGGACGGGCTGCTAGTCATAAATATTATGATACATTTTTTTAGTAGTGCAAATGATGATATCGTGTTTCTGTAAAGTGGGATGATTTGCGTGTAATGTAACGTTACAGATCTGAGCATTACATCAGTGAAGGAGGAGAACCGAGCATCACAATGCGCACCTTGTAATGATACAATGTGTATTATCTTGATACAACTTGTAACATCAATGCGCTCCACTTCCCTCCGTCCGCCTGCTTCGTCTGACATCTTGCTATGAAATGCTCAAATCAATCGAATCAATGTGATACATTACACGCAAATGCTCGTTAGTCAGGGAGGTATTATTGTAATGTAATGCTCAAAGTCAAATCTATAATGTTACATTACATTTGAATGCACCCGGTGAGGGAGCACTTTAATGTTTAAATTTTTATTTTACTACGGGTTTTGTTCAAGGTTTTGTAAAGATTCAATTTTATATTCAGTTCCTAAGCTTGTTATGTTATTAATAGTTTTAGACTGTACGATTGGTGCGCTGGCTGGACAACTGGTTGCCCCGCAACGTGTCGCGGCGCTATTTCGATTCCCGCACGGCACAACTTTACTCTTTGTGTGATCCGCAGATTGTTGATTCGGGTCTGGGTGTCATGTGTATGTGAACTTGTATGTTTGTAAACGCACCTACGACACAGGAGAAAATCCTAGTGTAGGGCAGCGTTAAAAAAATAGTTGCAAAGTGTGTCATAAGTGATTCTATAATACGAGATTCATAAAATAACCAAAAATGTCTACCTATATCTACCCTACAACGAAGAACAGACGCTGATTTCCGAAAAGTCACCGCGAAAACGCTTACAAGAGATTTTCCATTAAACCCGCTTATTACATTATTTAAGATCAAATTTATCCCCTTCTTTACTGCACTGATGACACAAACAATTTGATGAAGGACCCAAATCATAAAACCTTGGTTACATAACAATTATCGTTTATCGTTTCGTTCCCATCAAACTATAAAACTGCTACACAAATTTCACCTTTAACACCTGCACATAAAGTGTAAAACAGCACACGTATAAATCTTTAATTTGTTGTTTGTATCTATAGGCCTATTGTTTCCCAAGCGGCGAGTAAACGGATTAACTCCCCTTTACTTTACGTCTTTATCTTTAATAGGCTGTTAAAAAGAGAAGAAAGAATGGATAGCAAAGACGTTCCCTTTTATAATCCTTGTAATTATCGCTATAAAATTTGAATGCAGAAGGTACGGAACACACAGATGTGAACGTTATTCGCTCGAGCGCTCTCTTGTGCAATCCAAAGGAAATTTCAGCGTTATTCTAGATAACGCTTTTGAAACAGGTTATTTAAATAACGCTTATACGTTTATTCTAATTGTACAGCTGTTGAAAAGATCTCCTTGTGTCGCGTGAACGTTCTGATTTTGAAATTGAAATAAACGGTTTCTATGTATGTGTGTGGGTGTCTGTGTTTAATTAAATGTTGTCACGTTGTCCAGTCGTTTTATTTTTAATTTCGTTTTATTTATTGCTTTATAGGCACCTACGTCTGATATTGTTATCGATACAATTTAGGGTCGATTTTTTAATGTTCAGATAAATACTAACTGTGGAATAACTTTCAATATTTGTCAATTCTTCCATACTAAAAACTGTCAAATGTCAATCTCATTCTACAGTAAAAAATTAACTGATGATTGAAAAATCGGGCCTTAGAAGCTATTTTTCTGGTGATATTTTATGAGTTCCGTGTAGTAGGAGACGAGAAAAATTCTAGTCTCAGTCAAATTACTGTGAAACCTTTTATTTGAGACTAGCGACCCGCCCCGGCTTCGCACGGGTGCAATATGCATGTATTATATAGAGGTATATAAACCTTCTTTAAGAATCACTCTATATATTAAAAAAAACGCATCAAAATCCGTTGCGTAGTTCTAAAGATCTAAGCATACATAGGGACAGACAGACGGCGGATAGCGACTTTTTTATACTATGTAGTGATGGTAATCAATTCCTACACACATAATTCCTTGTGGCTCGGATTAATACATAACTAACACCCGAATACACAAAGGTTACTCGATTTTAAGTTGTACTTAAATATCGTGCCATCCCTGTCATTTTACAAAGAATTTGTAGTGACAGAACTATAAGCGCGATACACTTAAGCGCTTTCAGTATTCGGGCGAAAGTAAACGAAATTGTACTTAAAGATAATCAATGGCTACTAAATGAAAAAGAATGAAAAGAATAATGAAAGTACTTGAAGAAACTGACTATAACTCTTTATTATCTAGCTTATCTAGGATAGCTTCTACTTTCAGTAGATTCTAGCGTAAAGTCACAATTGATTTCTTCCTTGTCCTGTCCTTGTTAGATCCCGTCCCGATTTTTATTTTTTGAGATTAAAATCTTCATGTGTATAATCAAGGTATAACAACAACAAATGAATGAACTAACGGAATAGTTTGATGGACAATAACATATTTTTAATCGACTACAAAATGAAATAGGTAGGAACTCAGTGTGAACTGTATGTATGTACCTATCTCGCGATTAGCTGAACCGATTTCGGTGCGGTTTTAAGAAATGATTGTGTTACATTTAAGAGAAGGTTTTAGTATAAATTTTTTTTTTATTTTTTTTTTATTTACACTTTAACTCGTCGAGTACCGGTTTTATAGACACAATTAAAGAACAATAGGTCGCGGTCACCGGTGACCGCTTGGTGTTTGACAGTTTAATACACACAAAATAAGGTACATAAGGCGGACTTAATGCCATATGGCATTTTCTCCCAGTCAACCTTTGGGTTAAAAGTAAGCTCAGCGAAAATGGGCTTGTGTAATATGCAAAAGAAACAAAATAAATAACTAATAGTAATAATAAATACTGTATAACATAATGTATAAAAATATATAATAAACATATATAATAACATATAAAAATATATAAAAAATATATAATAATTTACGGACTTCAAAAAAGATGCAGTTTTTTTATTGAGGGGAACGAATCATTCATTGACCTTTCCTGCCCGGGCCAATTGAAAAGCGGGTTAAAGTCAGTTTTTTGAAACGTAATTTGTAAAAAAATATTCGTGTGTATGTATGTAGCCCATAGGCAACCTAATCACTCTGGCATATAAGTTATGTAGATAAAAATAATAAATAATAACTTAAATTACCCCTTAGAAACAGCCTTACAGGTGCCAGCCAATATAAAAATATGTACATTCAAACTAAAGAACCCTTAGGAAAATACCTACAACAAAGAGAAAAGATAAATACCTACGTCTAACATGAAGACCTATTATTATTTATTTCTAATCAATAAAACCTTTTCACAAAAAAACGTCTTAGTACTACGAATTATGTATGTTCAGACGTAAGCATTATTCCAGTAATTTACTTAGTCTCAATATATGACCAACAATAGGCTGAAAATAATTTCTATTATAGGTAAACTACGTTTAAAAAATCCGACTTCAACTCCCTCTTTTTCTGAAGTCGATTAATGAATATA